AAAAATAATTTCTCAGACAAATAAGAATGGAGGATATTCATTGCCAGAAGACCTGCTCCACAAATAAGGTTAAGAAATTTATCAGGCAGCAGCTCAGAGGCTGAGCCAGGAGCATTACAAGTTCAAAGCCAGCCTCTGCAACTTATTGAAGACCTATGCAACTTAGTGAGACCCTGCCTCAGTATAAAAAATAAAGGGCTGAGGATGTGCTCAGTCTTTAAGCACCCCTGGGTTCAGTCCCCAGTAAACTCTCCCCACCATACACAAAAAGAAATTCTTCAGGGAGATGAAACAATAATATTGATTAGAAACTTACATCTAAATTAAAAAAGTAGAGCACTGGAGTAGAAATAAATGAAGACATGCTTGCTAGTGCCCTCATCATTGTTCATCTCAGTGTGTTAACAACCATCCTCACATGTAATACTCAGGTACAGTTTAACCAAACCAGGAAGAGGAAATTTTCACTCTCTTGTTCTAAAACCACTATGCTACTAATGCATTCATCAAAAGCACATGAGATGGCTGGGGATGTGGCTCAAGCGGTAGCGCGATCGCCTGGCATGCGTGCGGCCTGGGTTTGATCCTCAGCACCACATACAAAGATGTTATGTCCACCAAAAACTAAAAAAATAGATATTAAAAAATTCTCTCTCTCACTCTCTAAAAAAAGCACATGAGAATCTCATTTACAAATGTGTTTTAAGTATATAATTTTTCTCTGTTCTCATAAGTGAATTACACCTCCTAGCCCTATAGAATTTGAATAATACAACAGAATTCACTTTAAAGTTCTCTCTCTCTCTCTCTCTCTCTTTCTCTCTCTCTCTCTCTCTCTCTCTCTCCCCCTCTCTTGGGGTGCTGTGGACTTTATTGCTGAGAAAGTGACAGTAGGGTTCCCTAAGGCCATCTGCTTCTTCAGGAGTCTGGGATGGATACTGGGAGGGGGGGTGAGATTCTCAGTGTGATGAGGGATTGAGTTGTGTGGCAGGTCTCCCCAGCAGCTGAGAGTCTCTCTTTTTCCTCTCTTGTTCTTCTTGGGGTGGGTGGATCAGGGGCCTAACTCTTTGGATGCCACATAAACCATAAAGTCTACCACCCTGTTGCTGTATCTAAATTCACCATAATACCAGAAAATGAACTTGACAAAGTGATTGTTGAGGCAATACCAGCCCCAGGATTGAAGGTGGAAGAGTGGATATCACTGTTTAAGTCATATGAGACAACCTGATCCTTAGTGTAACTCAGGATGCCCTTGAGGGGGCCCTCTGATGCCAGCTTCACCAACTCGCATTATTTATTTATTTATTTTTGGTACCAGGGATTGAAACCAGGGATGCTTAACAACTGAACCACATCCCCATCCCTTTTTATATTTTATTTAGAGGCAGGGTCTTGCTAAGTTGCTTAGGGCCTCACTAAGTTGTTGAGGCTGGCTTTGAACATGTGGTCCTACTGCCTCAGCCACCCAAGCTTCTGAGATTACAAGCATGTGCCACCATGCCTGGCATTCACTACCTTCTTGATGTCATATTTGGCAGCTTTCTCCAGGTGGTAAGTCAGATTCACGAATGACATATTGGGGGTGGGCACAATGAAGGCTATGCCAGTGAGCTTCCTATTCAGTTCAGAAATTATGTTGCTCACGGCATTGGCAGTGTCAGTGGATGCAGGGATGATGTCCTGGGCAGCCCCACAGCCATCATGCCACAGTTTCCTGGTGAGGCAGTCCACTGTCCGAGTGGCAGTGATAGCATGGACTCTGGGTATTAGTCCTTCCAGAATGCAAAAGTTGTCATGGGTGTCTTTGGCCAGGGGAGCTAAGCAGTTGGTGATGCGGGAGGCATTGCTGATGATCTTGAGGGAGTTCACACACATCACAAACATGGGGGCATAAGAAGAGGCAGAGATGATTGCCATTTTAGCACCACCCTTCAAATGAGCCCTGGCCTTTTCCATAGTAGTGAAGACACCATAGTGCACTCCATGGCATATTCAGCACCAGCACCACCCCTTTGATGTTGGCAGGAGCTTGCTCTTGGAAGATGGAGATGGATCTCCCATTGATTACAAGCTTCACATTTCTAGGCTTGATTGTGCCATTGAACTTTCCATGGATGGAATAATGCCAGAACACATAGATAATGTAGTTGAAGTCAATGAATGTGTCATTGATGACAACGATATCCACTTTGATAGAATTAAATATATATCTGGTGACCAGGTACCCAATATGGTCAAATTCATTCAACCCTCACCACTGTGTCTGAGGAATACAACTGGCACTGCATGAGATGTGGCAGATTGTGAAACAGGGCCTCCCCAGAGCTAATCACTTAGCAATTTGGTATAGACAAATTCCACACATACATATGCACACATATGTAATGCAAGTGTATATCTTTTTTTTAAAACAAAACATGATTACCATAAAAAGAATCATATGTATTACTCTACAACTTCCATTTTCACTTAACATTGGATCTAGAATTATTTCCATTTTGGCATATAGAGAGCTGCTTCACTCTTTCTGATATCACAATAAAGTAGAATAGAACTTTATCAAATAAGTGTACCAAACAAGTTTACTTTCCCTTTTGATGGACATATAGATTATTTACAATTATTGTTATAAGAAATACTTTTAGTGAATGTCCTTGTACATACAGATTGAATATCCTTTATGCCTTATCCCTTATCCAAAATGCTTGGGACCAGAAGTATTTCAGACAGACTTTGAGGTTGAGCATATTCAATCTGAATTCTCACATACTCCAAATACTAAGCTTGTGATACTTCAAACTTAAGTTTCTGATTTTGGAGCACTTCAGATTTTTGGATTAAAGATGCACAACCTTTAAACATTTCTGCTCCCAAGCATTTTGGTTAAGGAATGGATGCTCAGCTTACAAGATCAGGACCTTGAAAGTCACATACACAGGTGTGTCAGATTGAGGGACTCCCAAAGGGAATACAAATTAACAAATAAAAGAATCATTAATTTTTGCTGCCTTTTTGTGTCTTATAATTTAAAATGGAGGTATTCTTAGTATTTCTAAAATGTGTGTGCTTCAGGAATTGACTCACAATGTCTGTACTTGCCTCTTGCTCCCTTTCTCCACTGAAAAGCTACGTAGGCAGAATCTCCTGGGTGACTGACTCTGGGCCAAGTGCTGGGTTTACAGGCATCACAGATAAAGACATAGCTATAGAATATTAACATAGAGCTGAAAACAATAAAGAGTACTATGGAATTTTCATGACTCAGTGGCACCTAACTCCTTACCACTGTCTACTTAGAAGCTGAGGATTCAGTGGTGAAAAATACTGAAAAGGGAGCTCATCTTTCATGGAATATATACTCTTAAGTCAAACACTCCACCTTTGGAGAGTGTCAAAAATTGTATATAATTAGGAAGAAAAATGCACATGCATTTATTAAACAGGAAGCAGGGCTGAGAGAAAGGGGAAGTTGAGGAAAGGAGCTGAAATCTGTCTTGCGAATGTATATGGGTATGGGTCTCTTTCTCTAACAGAGCAATGTACAGGGATCCAGGAGTGGGGCACCAGGGTGAGGAGTGTATGGCTCCCTGGGAGTCCTGGCGGAGCAGGCCTTGACTTGGACAGCTGTGGGATGACCCAAAGGCCAAGTGAATTCCCATTTGAAGTGAGATACTACCCATGTGGCAGAAGAGTAACTGTTGACACAGAGCAGTAATAGGTCACTTAGGGCAAAGGGTCTAGGTCAATCTTCCTTTGAAAAGGGCGCAAAGGTAAGGCCTTTAAAGGCATCCCCCACCTCAGTTTCCTAAGCAACAGGAGTTGCTTTCCTCCCTTTCATGGCTCCAGGAAGCTGTAAAGGAAAAACATGGAGGAAGAGCCATCCCAGAGGCCCCTAGTTAGTCTGTAGTGAAGTCACCTGTCCGTCCCTCCTAGCCCCGCAGTCTGCAGTCCTCACACCCACTCCCCTGACCCTCTCGGAAGGAAGGGGAGTGGAAGGAGGGGGCAGGCACAGTGGAAAGATTTTGTATTCATCCGCAGCTCCCGCCGGCGCGGCGCTTCCCGACCTCCTGATACCATTCCCCGCAGCCCCCAGCCGCCTGCCCTCCCGCCAGTCCCACCAGGAGTAGGTGCGCGGGAGACTGGGTGGTGGTCTGCACGCTAGGGTGCGYGGGGTCTTACTGAGGCTGCTGGTGCTAAGCCGCCCCTCAGACCCGGGCTGGCGCTGGCCCCGCCCACCTCTGGGTCGGAACTACGGTGGGCCTGGGAGGGGGCGTCGAGCCCATTCGCRCCATATCCCTCCGCCCCCCTTCCCGACACCCTCGAGGCGAGTGGTTCTGCCGCATCCTGCGCAGCCCCTGCCCGGTTTGGTGCAGAGGCGTGGGGGCGGGACGCCTCTTGGCAATTCTGCCAGCACGGAAAGCTGAGGGAGTCCCAGTGTGGAGCTGCCTTAGGACCAGACGGAAAAGGAGAGGATAGGAATCCCTATGTCCTGGGCCCTGAGCCTGTGAAGGCAAGTGCGGCACTCAGGGGTGGTCTTCAACTGTGGCCCGCTGATAGCTTGCCCACTCCAGACTCTGGCAGCCCGGTGAGGAGAGAGTGAGTTGGCGGGAGCCGGTCCCTGAAAGGGGTGTGTGGAACCTGGGGACCCCTGGTGGGGAAGCGGCGGTGACCCGCCTGGGTCGGGGCAGGGGGCGGGGTGYCCAGAGAGCCTCCAGCAGAGCTTCCAGAGGCCAACTGCAGCAGCTGCTTCTCAGACTTCCTTCCCGTCTTGACTGTGTCTGTGTCCGGTGAGAGCCCTGGGGGAAGCCTGTGAGGGAGAAATGGCGGCTTGGGAACTCGGGCGGGGGCCTGGGGGGCGCCCTGGAGGCCGCAGTGGGCGGGAACAGGAGTAGGGGCTGTTGTCCAAGCTCTGTCCAGCCCAGTTAGCTTAGCGGGAGGTTGGTCGCCTTTGTCAAAACAGCGGGTTCCAGAAAGGGGCCTGTTGGACCCTGAGTCCTGGGTGCTGTCGCTTCCCACAGGCACCTGGTTGATGTGAAAGCCTCTCATGAGTGAGGTAGGTCTGGTGTGTTCTAGGAAATGGGAGCAGTGAGAGTTAAGAGGAAATTGAAATGAAATGTTCATCAGCCTTTAGTACAATACTGTCTTATTTCATTCTATATTTAGATTCCCATGCCCAATTTAGTATAACCGAATGGTCAAGATGGTAGAATTTCGTAGCAACAGGCCATGTAAATTAATGGTGTGGTGTTTATTTTGTCATTCAAAATCTATTTTTCTTAAAATCCTGGTGCACTATAAATAATATTTTGATGTGTGAGAATAGCAGGTCAGAGTAAATGGGAAGTCTCTCTGAATGATATATTTAGAACATTTGAAGTCAGTCTGCTTCTTTGGTTTCTTTTTCTGGAAACCCAAACATCACCCATCACAGCCTCACATTCCCTCTCATTTTTTTTTAATACAGAAATAGTCCCACAGAAGGTTTTGTGATGTTTCTGAGAAATGGTGAGAGTGCTAGACTTCATTTACTTTGTTCCTCGTGGTCAAAAAGGAGGTGTTCAAACTTGGATTCTGGAAATCTAACATGTTTTTCTACCATTGTTAACATATTGTCTTGATTGTTTACTGAATGTCTGCTTCTTTTTATAGGTACTGACTCTTCTGTAACCAGGGGACTCTTCTTTGGTGCCAAGGATAGCATTTCATGAGGACCCCTCTTTTGTGACCAGGCTGGCATAAATGAGGTAGGTTCTATGTATGGGGATTGGCAGCATGCAAAGATGGCATTGAAATAATAATAATGCACATTAGTTTCCCTGCCTGCTTTCTAAACAGTTGTCTAAGTTCCACTACCTATTCCTGTACTTCATATTTTTGTTCAGGAAAAGAGGTGTATCCTTTGCTGGGAAAATGACTGACTCCAGAGTTGGAAGGAAATATAATCAGATATACTACAGGTCTCGAGGGGTTTGGCTTGGGAATCTCTGGGGGGAGCAGACTAGTGGGAGACATTTGACATAGCCTTGAATATGCAAAAGCATGTTATAACCCCGTCAAGTGTATTATAGCATCTCAGTCTCTTCTGTTTTTGGGGTTTTTTTCTTCTATCTGTAGGTCTTTTCTTTCTAGGTTCCTGTAGGGATCTGTAGGTAGCTGTTTACTTGGAAGGTAAATAAGAAAAAAGGAAAACTATTCATTTGGATCCAGGTTGGGTGTGAGTGCATGAATACCCCTGTTGATTGGGGTTAGGGATGGCTTTGGCAAGTGGTTGAGACCAGATCATGTCTTAGAGACATTGTCTTCCAACTTTCCCGACAACTTGGCCTTCACATTTGTGTACAGATAATGTGGGCAGGATAAGCCAAGGTTATACCTATAGGTAGGTAATTGGTTGATATTGGAACAGGAAATGGGGAGGGAAGCCATGAGGAAAACCAGGGTGGGGCAGAAGTGATATGTAAAAATCTCTATATATTAAGATACCAAAGTGCAGTCAGTCTAGCAAATACTCACAATTACAATACCACGTGTATTTTTGTCCATAGGTCTGTTTGAGGGTCAACTGTTGCTCCTATCAATACTGAAAGCAAGGAAGAAGGACAACATTGCATCAGAACAGTTCAGGTTGGTGTGAAACCTGTCGAATGGACCTATAGTGTTTATTAGTATGTATCATTATGGCACCGAAGGGATTGGACACTCCTTATCCAATTCTACATTCAGCAAGTTTATCTACCACTACTGTTGTGTTTAATACAGTGGGAAAAAAAAAGAATGTTAGTATTTGGGCAGGATATTTTGGGCATTAGTGGGATGTACAAAGAATAAAATGAGGTGACAGAGTTTTCTTTTTTTTTTTTTTTTTTTTTTTTTTAGTACTTTAACACTGAGCTATAGCCTCAGCACTTTTCATTTTTTAATTTGTGACCTGGTCTCACTAAGTTGCTTGGGGTCATGCTTGACTGCTGAGGCTGGCCTCAAACTTGCGGTCCTCCTACCTCAGCTTCTGAGTCACTGGGATTACAGGTGTGTGCCATCATGCCCAGGTAGCAGAGTTTTTTACTAATCCACTTCTGCCATACAATCATCTCTACTATCGTGTTTTTCTATGTAACTATGTATAGAGAGGCAAAGTTGCAGGAGACTCAAAGCCCATTTTTTTCTTCACCTCAGATTTCTCTCCAGTTGTGGCTGTGGTGGTCTCAAATTGGTAGAAGATCTTCACATTCAACAGGTCTGCATTCAGCAACCATCATCCTCCCCCAGCCCATGTATTCCTCCACTCTATCTGTATCATCGACAGAGGTTGTGTGCTTAGAAAGGGGACTGTGTGACTGCTAGACTGACAGTTGACTCTTGCTACCAAGTTCATCTCTGACCCAATAAAAAAGAGTGTAGAGACACTGACCTGGGACACACTGAGAACGAAGGCTAGGACTGGACAAGACTGTATAACTGGTATTCAAGCATGCCTGGGACAAAGAATAAGGCTAAAACCCAGGCCAAAACTGAAAAAAGAACAAATGTACAGGCTAAAGGTGGAGCAGAGAGGGAAGCTACTGGCACAGCCAAACCTGTAACCAAGACCCGGTCCAAAGCAAAAGCCAAGGCACGGCCTAAAACAGATGCAGTTGCAGAGACAAAAGCAATATCTAAAAACAGGGTTGTTGCTGAGAATAAGGAAGGAGCCCTGTCAGAGCCTAAGGCTCCAGTGAAAGCCATGGCAAATATCAGTCCCAAGGCTGAGAATGAGGCTACCAGCTCCACATGTAAAGATAATGCTAGTGTTGATACCTGGTTCTGGGCTGGGGAAGAAGCCAGTATCAATTCTTGGTTTTGGAAGGGAGATGAAGCTAGTAATCGTACCAGTGCTAAAGATGAAAATAAAGCTCATGTTGGTGGCCAAGCTCGTCCTGAATTGGAGCCTACACCTGGGGTCAGCAGCAAGAATAGGTCAGGGGATGAGGAAGAAGAAGAAGAGAATGTTATTGGGAGCTGGTTTTGGGAAGGAGATGATGCTAGTTTTGACCCTAATCCTAAGCCTGTAAGTCGGATAGTTAGGCCTCAGCCTGTAGATGAAATTAATGAAAAAAATAGGCCAAAGGACTGGTCTGAGGTAACTATCTGGCCCAAAGCCCCTGCTGTAACTCCAGCAGTGTTAGGTTTTAGATCCCAGGTCCCATCTGAGCCAAAGCCTTCTTCATATATTGTCCTGGCCTCATCTGAGGAAGCTGCTCATTCTTCAGCTGCAGCAGCCTGCCCTTCTAGGAGTGCTCGCTCAAACTTACAGCCTATCCCTGAGTACCCATTTGGTTCTGACCCTTGCATTCAGACGATAGATGAAATTAGACGCCAAATTAAGATCAGAGAGGTAAATGGGATTAAGCCATTTGCTTGCCCTTGCAAAATGGAATGTTACATGGATTCTGAGGAATTTGAAAAGCTTATTGGCATACTTAAGTCAACTACTGATCCTCTCATTCATAAAATAGCACAGATTGCAATGGGTATCCATAATGTTCATCCATTTGCCCAAGAATTCATTAATGAAGTGGGCGTAGTGACACTTATTGAAAGTTTGCTCAGTTTTCCTTCCACAGAAATGAGAAAAAAGACTGTGATTACTCTGAATCCTCCTTCTGGGGATGAAAGACAACGCAAGTTGGAATTACATGTGAAACATATGTGTAAGGAAACCATGTCTTTCCCCTTGGACTCACCTGGACAGCAATCTGGATTAAAGATACTAGGGCAACTGACTACTGATACTATTCATCACTACATTGTTGCCAGTTACTTTTCAGAGCTTTTCCATTTGCTATCCCAGGGAAATCGTAAAACTAGAAATCTTGTCTTGAAAGTACTTTTAAATATGTCTGAAAATCCAACTGCAGCCAGAGACATGATCAGTATGAAGGCATTGGCAGCATTAAAACTCATTTTTAACCAGAATGAGGCAAAAGCCAACCTCGTTAGTGCTGTGGCCATATTTATTAACATAAAGGAGCATATCAGAAAGGGCTCAATTGTAGTTGTTGATCATATGAGTTATAATACACTTACGGCCATTTTCCGTGACGTTAAAGGGATTATTAAAGCCATGTAAAATGAGCCAAAAAGAAGAGAACACTGAACAATCTTCAAATTCTGACAGGCTGTACATTCCCAAAGAATCTTGCATAATGTTTTGGTTGTTAGAGTGTGCACAAAATATACATTGCATCTTTAACATAATGATACCTGTGATAGGCTCTAGCTCAGAGCTAGTGTTTTGGTGTATCAAATGAATATTAAATCTAGAGGTAAAATGTTTGTTGATGTCTATCTTGTCTAGACTGGCAGATTTTTAACGTTTTACTTAATAAGATAGTGAATCAGTTCATTATACATAAGCTAGCTTGATCATTGGTATTTTCTTAGATCCATTTGTAGCTTGAAATGGCAAAAAAGAATATTATTATCTAGTTACAGTAATATGGCATATATACACAAAAAGATAACCAGTAATACTTATAGCATATATATATGTGTGTGTGTGTGTGTGTGTGTGTGTATACACACACACACACACACCCACACACATCCACATATGCTCATTGCCAAATGTGACTTCTCAATATATAAAGGAGGCAGGTGTTCTTACAACTGTTTAAGATAAATGTCTATTTTTTCCCCTATTCAGCTATATCAGACACTCATTCTATAATATAGAAATGGCCCTGCATTCCAGATAAAATGTAATGTTTATTCATTTTTTTATTTTGCTACTACATTTATAACTCTTAAATCATTAGGCTATTTCATTTATGTCAGATACACCTCACAGAAGAAAAGGGAGGTATGAGTGGGGAGAAAATACTTATTGAGTGCCTACTATGTCAGACACTGTGTTGACACTATATTTTACAAAAATTTTCCCTCCTTTTGCAGTGATCCCATGAACTAGATACTTATGTTATAATTAAAGCTCATTATTCTGGATACCCTCCAATGAATGAGAACATTTCCTAGATTCCCACAGCAGGCAGGTGGCATTGCTCTTCCTACACCAGACCCCATCTTTCCACATGACCTTACAGTCCTTCACTTTTTTAGGTGGTAGCTTTCAAAGCTCAGAGACTGGTTGTAATTGTTTAATTTTGCAGTAGATTATGTCACTTCTATGGGTAGACAAATGCACTTGTCACTAGGCATTTGGCTATACCTGGCTGGAGGTTAAGAGGAAGGTCTGAGATGAATATATGTTTTTTACCCAGCAGCATCTGGGAAATAGTAGGTATTCAGACTGTTGAATGAATAAGATATGGGTGTGGAGTTGTCAGAAATTGAAAGTTCTTATACACCCTGTCTTTTTCTATTAATGTGTCCTCTTTTCAAAAAAAGAGGAATCATTCTGAATATTTCACACTCTGCATTTGAAAAGGTAGTTGCTTTCTTTCTCTTTGCAAAATCATACCTTAACTTTTTAGCATTTATGGTTTATTCTCCTGTGTGTCACATGAAAGGCTAAATGCTGTATCTTTTACTAGTTGGCAAGTGCATTTTCTGAATTTGTACTGGCTGAAACTGAGAATAAAGTTAATTGGAGAAATTTACATCCAGAGCTGCAGCTTCAATAATACAAAATAGGAAAGCAAAGAGTGGCACTACTGTCTCAACATACAAGACAGTGATTCCTGGAAGTCCACATGGTCTTGAAAGCATCTCAAGATTTCAGGCTATGGTTGAATTCTTTAAGACTCATGGTAATGATTACAGACCCTGGTCTAAGTTGTAGAGAAAGTTATTATGCAGTGAAACCATCCAATGATTTGAGATTTGGGGGCAGTTAAGAAACTCAAGACCACACTTTAAATATTATTTGTAACTTGTATCCTCACAACTAACTGTAAATCGTGAATGTATTTTTTGTGTCAATAAATATGATTCTACAGAATATTTTTGAATCATGTAATATTTTCCTGTTAACAGTTGATGTAGTTTTATGATATTTTATTGTATATTCTCTTAACATACAATATGCACAAATTTATTATTTTGCAAAAATATTATTCAGCAACTCACCCTTTTATCTTAACAGTTATTTTTCCAGTTCAGTATTATACAGATCTATGCAGATCTACCACATGCTTTTTGTTTAATAGCTTTATTGAGATATAGTTGACATACATTACACTGCATATTTCAAGTGTACAATTTCAGATATATATATACATATATATGTTCATATATATGTGTATGTGTGTGTGTGTATATGTATATACACACACACATATATGTTTGTGTGTGTGTGTGTATATACCATAACAACAATCAAAATAGTGAAAATATCCAAAAGCTTCTTTGTGCCTTTTTGTAATCTCTCCGACCCTGTGTCCCTCTGTCCCCAGGCAACTACTGATCTGCTTTCTAACAAAATAGAATCATTTTCTGTAATCATATACAACTAGCATTATATAGCACATACTCTTTTGGAAGGGGGGAGCCTGGCTTCTTTCACTTAGCATAATTGTATGAGTTTCATTCATGTCATCTATCTCAGTAGTTCATTAATTTTTTTTATAAGTAGTAGTCTATGGCTTTTTTCAGTTTTTTTAATCCATTCAACGGTTGACATTTGGGCTCAGATTTTGGTTATTACAAATAAAGTTGCTATGACAATTAATGTACTTGTGTCTCTATGCACATATGTTCTGGATTAATAAATATCTAGGAGTGGAATGGCTGGATCATATGGTAGTTACATGTGTAATATTTACATTTTTCAAAGTGATTATGCAATTTTTTAAAAAGTATTTTTTTGTAGTTGGACAGTATCATTTTATTTTTTTAAATATTTATTTTTTAGTTTAATGGTGGACACAATATATATATATATTTTTTGTGGTGCTAAGGATCAAACCCAGTGCCTCATGCAAACTAGGCAAGCACTCTACCCCTGAGCCACAACCCCAGCCCTATTTATTTTTATGTGGTTCTGAGCATTGTGCTAGGCAAATGCCCTATAGCTCAGCCCCAGCTCCAACCCTGATAATGTAATTTTATAACTCCATAGTGGTATTGTGATTGTACAATTTTACATTCCCACAGCAGTGTATGGAGTTATGATTCCTCTACATCATTGCTAGTAGTTGGTATGGTCAGTCTTTTTAATGTTATTCATATCTCATAGTAGTGGTAATTAGCATTTCTCTGATGACTGAAGATGTTGAATGGCGTGTGTGTGTGTGTGTGTGTGTGTGTGTGTGTGTATGTGTCAGAGACAGAGAGATAGATAGATTCTGGGGATTGAACCCAGGTCCTTATACAGGCTGGGTAAATGCATACCATTTACCTTTATAAGAGAGAGTGAGAGAGGAGAGAGAGAGAGAGAATCCCCAATATTTATTTTTTAGTTCTCGGCGGACACAACATCTTTGTTGGTATGTGGTGCTGAGGATCGAACCCGGGCCGCACGCATGCCAGTCGAGCGCGCTACCGCTTGAGCCACATCCCCAGCCCCACACCATTTACCTTTTTAAATTTTTATTTTAAGTAAGGTTCTTGCTAAGTTGCCCAGACTGGCCTTCAACTTGGGATTCTCTTGCCTCAGCCTCCCAAAGTAGCTGGAATTATAGGTGTGAGCCAGCTTGAATATCTTTCCATATGCATATTTACCATCCATATATCTTCAATGAAATATGTGTAAATCTTTCCCAGTTTTAAAATTTATTCTTAATTGCTGCATTATAGTTATTCATAAGAGTGGAATTCATCATGATATATTCATATATGCACCTAATATCCTTTGGTTGATTTCATTCTGCAGTTCCTCCCCTTTCTCATCCCTTGACTCTTTCCCCTTGTTCTCCTTTCTTTTCTCTACTATTCTCTTTTCTATTTTCATGAGATCTTACTCCTTTATAAATTCCTTATTACTCTCTTGCTTCTGCACATGAGAAAACATTTGACCCTTGACTTTGTGAGTATGGATTATGTCCCTCAGCAAGATACTCTCCAGTTCCATCCATTTACCAGAAAATGAAATAATTTCATTTTTTAAGCTGAGTAAAACCCCATTGTGTATATATACCACGTTTTCTTTAATCATCAATTGAGGGACACCTAGACTTGTTTCATAACTTGGATGTTGTGAATTGTGCTACTATAAACATTGTTATGCATGAATTGCTGTAGTATACTGATTTTAGTACTTTTCTATAAATACTTAGGAGTGAAATCGCTGGGTCATATGGTGGTTTCATTCCTAGTCTTTTGAGAAATCTTCATAGTGCTTTCCAAAGTGTTTGTATTGATTTGCAGTCCCACAAACAATGTATAAGTGTACATTTTCCCACATATCCTCACCAGCATTTATTACTATTTGTATTCTGATGATTGCCTTTCTAACTGCAAACTTCTATTTTTCAAAGATCAGGTTGTTAATTTATTTATTTATTTTGGTGCTGGGGATTTAACCCAGGTCCTTGTGCATGCAAGACAAGCACTCTACCAACTGAGCTGTATCTCCAGCCCCCATGACTTTTTTTTTTAAATATGAAGTGGTTATAAGTGCATTATCAGGTATATGTTTTATAAATATTTTCTCCCAATCTGTGGTATTTCTATTCTTTTAAAGATGTCTTGAAGAGCAGAGTTTTTTAAATTTGTGATTAATAACAATTCTTTCACCAGCTAGGCTTTAGTGTTATCTATAAGACATCTCTGTCTAAACAAGGTCACAAATGCTTTACCCTTTATTCTAAAATTTTTATTGTTTCTCTAGGTTTCAAGGCCAGGGATGTGTAATACATTATGAGTTAAGTTTTATATGTGGTATAAGTGATAGGTCAGAATTCTTTTTTGTGTGTCATTGCAATGTCCAGTTTTTCCATTACCATTTTCTGACAAGAGTTGTCTTTCTTCACTTGAGTTGTCTTGGTGTCTTCATCAAGACTCAGTTTTCCCAATCTTGTTTTATCTTTTCAAAGAACCGACTCCTTGTAACATTGATCATTTATGTTATTTTTCTATTCTATTTAATTAATTTTGGTTCATGTCTTCTACCAGTTTTTTTGTTTTATTAGTGTATTATAATTATACATAATAGTGGGGGATCATTGTGACAAATTCATTTATACACATAACATAATTTACTCCAACTAATCCCCTAGTATTTCTTCTTTCCCTCCCAATTTTCCACTCTCTGTTCCTCTGGAATTCCTTTTATTTATTTATTTACATGTATTTTTATTGGTACATTATAATTATACATAGTAGTAGGAATCATTCTGGTATATTAATACATATACAATAATTTGGTCAATTTTATTCTCCAGTACTTCTCCTTCCCTCCCTACCCCTTGATCCTCTACCTCTCCTCTACTGATATACTTTCTACTTATATGAGATCCCCACATTTTTATTTCCTTTTTCTCTCTAGTTTCCACATATGAGGGGAAAACATTCTCTCCTTACCTGTGTCTGGCTTATATCATTGAGC